ATATAATAATAAGGAAATATTATTAACACATACATTTTACAAATTAGTGAAGAAGTGAACAAATTTCTCAAAAATACAGGGTAACAAAACAAGAGAAGATATTGGCAAGACTGAAGACTCATATTTCTTAAAGAAATTAATAAAGTCATTAAAAACTTTCCAATAAAAAAACAAAAAACCCATATCCATACCATCTTAGTAAATACTATCAAGCATTTAAGAAAGAAAGAAGAGCAATCTTACACAAACTGCTTAAGAAAAATAGAGAAGAGACAACTTTCCTATTTCTTTCATGAGGACAATATAACACTGATATCAAAATCATCCAAGGAAATTTCAAGTACCAAAATTAAAAATCAATATTCCATATGAACATAGACACAAAAAATCCTTATTAAAACATTAGCCAAATAATTCTAATAATATAAAAATATATATAATGTGGCCGGGTACAGTGGCTCACGCCTGTAAACCTAACACTTTGAGAGGCCAAGGTGGGTGGATCACCTGAGGTCAGGAGTTTGAGACCAGCCTGACCAGCATGGTGAAACCCCATCACTACTAAAAATACAAAAAAAAATTAGCTGGGTGTGGTTGCAGGCGCCTATACTACCCAGCCCAGCTACTCAGGAGGCTGAAGCAAGAGAATCGCTTGAACCTGGGAAGCGGAGGTTGCAGTGAGCCAAGATTGCACTACTGAACTCCAGCCTGGGCAACAGAGCAAGATTCCATCTCAAAAAATATATATATATACACACACATATATATATTTTATATATGTGTATATATAAAAATATATAAGTATATTTATATGCATGTATACATGTGTATATATTATGTATATATGTGTGTATATAAATATACACATATACACACACATATGTATATGTGTATATGTATATGCATGTATGTGTATATATGTGTATATATGTACATATGTATATGTGTGTGTATATATAATGCATATAACCAAAGATTTCAAAAGATTTCCAAAGATTTCAAAGAATGCAACTTTGCCTCAAAATTTGAAAAGTAATGTACTTTATTTCATTAATAGAATGAAGGAGAAAAATCATATGACCATCTAAATAGAGAAAGAAAACTTGTGTCAAAATTGAACATACATGAAAAAAACACTCAGCCAACTAGGAATTGAAGGGAATTTACTCAGTCTAATAAAGGGCATCAACAACAACAACAAAAACAGTTATACAGAATGAATAAGAATGAATAAGACCTAAAGAGAATGAATAAGACCTAATGAATGAATTAAGACCTACTAAATGAATCAATAAGACCTAATGAATGAATAAGAATTAATAAGACCTAAAAGAATGAATAAGACCTACTATTTAATAGCAAAACAGGGGGACTATAGTCAGTAATAACTTAATTGTACATTTTTAAATAACTAAAAGAGGGTCATTGGATTGTTTGTAACACAAAGGATAAATGCTTGAGGGGATGGATACTCCATTCTCTATGATGTGCTTATTTCAAATTGCATGCCTGTATTAAAACATCTCACATACCCCTTAAATATAACACCTACTATGTAACACCAACTATATACCCACAAAAATTAAAACAAACGAGAAAGACAATAACAATCTGCAGTGAACATTCATGTTAATGGTGAAATACTGAACGCATTTTCACCTGAAGTCAAGAACAACATAGGGTGCCCACTCTCACCACTGCTACTCAATATTGTACTGAAGGTTTTGTCCAGTCTAATAAGGCAAAATCAAAACAAAACAAAAATTAAAAAGTTGGAAAAAAATAAGCAAAACTCTCTTTACACATATTTTATATATTGCATAGGTGGAAAATTCTAAACGGTCTACAAAGAAATTACTAATAAGTAAATTTAGTGACAATACAGGTCAATACACAACGATAAGTTATATTTCTATAAAATATTAACAATTGGGAATTAAATTAAAAATCAATGCCTTTTGACTACATTTAGTGAAAAATGTGCAAGATTTCCACACTGTAAATTATAAAACATTACTTAAATTGAACACCTGTATAAACAAAGAGATATATCATCTTCATTAATCTGAAAGACGTAATACTGCCCAAATTGCTTTACAGATTCAATGCAATCACAAATAAATCTAAACAGACTTGCAAAGACTCTAAAATAGCAAGACAATTTCAAGGGGAAAAAAAATACTTAGAGGACTCACATAATCTGATTTCTTTTTTTCTCCTCTCTCTTTCTTAACAGCTTTATCAGATATATTTCTCGAACTACAGCATTCACACTTTTAAAGTGTACAATTCAGTGATTTCTAGTATATTTAGGGAGTTGTGCAACCATCACCATCTAATTGTAGAATATTTTCATAACCCAAAAGAAAAAACCTATACCTGTTAGCAATCACTCCTCATTTTCTCCTGATACAGTTTGGATGTCCCCTCCACATCTCATATTGTAATTCCCAATGCTGGAGGTGAGACATGGTGGGAGGTATTTGGGTCACGGAGGTAGATTCCTCCAGGCTTGGCGCTGTCCTCACTGTAGTGAGTTCTCACAAAATCTAATTGTTTCAAGTGTGTGGTACCTCTCCTACTCTGTCTTGCTCCTGCTTTCACCATGTGACGTGTCTTCACCTACTTCACCTTCTGCCATGAATAAAAGCTCCCTGAGGCCCACCCAGAAGCAGAGCAGATGCCTGCGCCCATGTGATTGGCTTATTAGGATTTTCTATGTATTCTTTATTATATTTTGGTAGTTTTTTTCCTTCTAAGACTTTATCCATTTCATATAGGTTTTATATTTTTTTTGCATACTATTGTTCATAGTATTCTCTTATATTCCTTTTTATTTCTGTAAGGTCAGACTTACTACCTGATTTCAAGACTTACTATTAAGCTATGGTTGTAACAGTGTCTTAGAAAAGACACAGAAAGCAATAATCATAAAACAAGAAAAGGATAAATTAGACTTAAGCAGTATTAAAATTTTCTGTTCCCCCAAATAACACTATTAAGAAAATAAAAAGGCAAAATACACACTGACCAAAAATATTTAAAGTAAGAACTTGTTTTTATTATAAACTCTTATAAGTCAATAATAAGAAGATAAACAACTCAATTTAGAAAAATACGCAAGGGATTTAAATAGATCTTTCACAGAGAAGATATACAACGGCCAATGTGCACATGAAAAAAAGTGCTCTATGTCATCAGACACCAGAAAAGTATAAATTTAAACAGCAGTGTGATAACATTTCATACCTACTAGTGTGAATATGATTAAGAAAGAACTAAAACAAATGTTGGTCAGGATGAAGAACAACTGAAACTCTCACATGTTGCTTGAGGGTGTGTAAAACAGTACCACTTCTTTGAAAAACTGGCAATTTCTTATAAAGTTAAAAATACATTTACCTAATCATCCAGCAAGTCCGCTCTAGGCATTTATCCTAAGAAAAATGAAACACTTGTACAAGAATATTCACTTTGCCTTTTTCATAGTAACTACAAGCCTGGAAACAATTCAAATGTCCCTCAGTAGAAGAGATAAACTAACTGCAAGCTAGTCATTTCATGTTACTATTCAGCAATAAAAATTAACAAACTATCCATGACATTGAGGAACATCAAGACGTTCTGTTGAATGAAATAAATTGGAAACAAAAGAATACGTATGGTACAATTCCATTTTCATCAAGTTCAAGAACAGGCAAAACTAAGCTATGGGAATAGAAATCAGAAAACTGTTTGTCTCCGCTGTGGTGGAAAGGTGAGGGTCAACTGCAAAAGGGCCAGAGGGAACTTTTGGGGATGATGGAAATGCTTTATATTTGGCTTTAGTGTTCATTACACGAGAAGAGTATATGTGTGTCAAAAATCACTCCACTAAAAACTAAAATCTATGCATTTCACTGTATGCAAATTAAACCTCAAAACACCATTCAGAAACATGTTAGGCAAGAGATGGCGGATGCAAGTGCTTTAAATTTTCTTCCAGGTGGCATGGATGGATCTTACTGTTGCTACCTGCAGCTCAGCCTGAAGGGTTCAGTGTCCTTGCACCTTGGAACACTGGCATTCTACTTGCCAGCCTCGTGTACAATAAGAACACAAGTGCACCCATCCAACCCCTCCCAGCCATGCCAGCAATGGCTGGGCAATCGACAGTCAGCAGCACACTAGATATGCCAAGGGCTCTCTGATTACCATCCTTTTATAAACCCTGGGACTAGCTTCCCCATCAGCATGTTAAATTTCAAACACAAGCCAATTCTAAATTATTCAGAAATGAATGACTGGAGTTAACACTGAGAAGCAAAATTGCTTATGGAAGGAAGAAAGAACACAGAATAGGGCCCAGAGTTTGAAGTTCCACTCCCAGTCCACTACTTCCAGGCTCTGTGATCTGAGATAAATCCTTAGTTTCTTATCTTTATAATGCAGGGATGAGGATAACATGACACACAACTGCTGGACAACGGCCTAGCACTTGGGGAGGAATAGCTGAGAGGCAGAAATGAAAGCCTGTGGTAGAATGTGAATTTCCAGGTGTACTTACATACATGTTTTATTCAAAGCTCCTCACTCCCTGCCTCCCCCGCACCCCCCTCCAAATACATACACACCTGGACCTATTTTTGAAAACTTTACTGGTAATTAGAACCTTTATCAGAAGGTAAAGAACTTTTAACTGTTCAAGTCTGCTACTTTTAAAAACTCTGGAGAAACATTGGTTCCTGCCTTCTCAAAGTCTCCGTGGCCTCCATTCATCTGAATCTAGAGACAATCAAGATTTGGACCTTAGCATCCTTTAAAAGCAGATGTCCAGGTTAAAAACATCTGCAGAGGTTTAAGCATCCGAGGATGCTTTTAACCTGGGCATCCGATTTTAACAACAGACTCTTTCCTGATCACAGTTAGAAAATGACATCCTGTGCCTGCTTCTCTGAATTCTTACTCACGCCAGGGCATCACACTAACCCTGAGAGAGCAAACCCTGAGCGCCATCTCACCTGCTGACGAAGGTCAGGGCCAAGGCTGTGGCCAGGGGGGGCATCAGCCACAGGGTCTGCGTTTGGTGCTCAACGATCTTCACCTCCTCCTTGGTTTTGGGCCCAAACTGCCTCCGACTAGAGGGAATCAACGAACACGATTTTTACCAAAATCCAGAAGAGGGGGGTGAGTTCATTTCCAGAGCTAAAAGTGCTGGCTAGCCATTTGTCTTCCAAAGACTCCAGAATGCAGAAATCTGAATTTCCTAGAATGTGGTTAGGGCAACACATCCCAAGTTTCTGAAGAAAGCCCAACAGGAAGCTTTTCAGCTCTTCTAGAAGTTAACCTTCCCAGCGTGGAACATTTTTAAAGCAGCACATCTATCTAACACCAGAGTAATTTTTACTCCTTAACACTTACATGACATTTTATAGTTCCAAGTGCCCCATGATCATTAATTATTCAGCTTTACTAAGTTTGCGACATAATTAATAGGACAGGAGCAATACCCTAGAACATATTTCAAAAGGACATTCTCAACAAGGAAGGCGACATTAACCCTGGTACTCCTGTCAGATTCACAGGTAGGTCATTACTTTTAGCCCACCTAAACCCCCCTGCAATTCTATGTGGAAAAGGTGTTCTCCACATCCTGCCTTAAATCCCTGTGCCCTGCAGACACCATGTGCATTGCACTCCGAGGCTGCGATGTCAGGTGAACCAAGGCTTTCCTTGGAGCAATTTATAAAGTGGTGTGGGATTGTCCCCACAGGCAATGCCCGGGGACAAATCCCCCAGGATCTCACAGTTGTAGACTGCAAAGAGCCCAGGCTCTTCATAGAGGTCACCTTCTGCTCCAGGCAGCCTGAAGCTCTACATCCTACATTCAGCAGCATGCTGTCTCTGAACAGCTCTGAGTTTAACGTTGGTTTATGAAAGAACAACATTTCATTCTCTCTCTCTCACACACACACACACACACACACACACACACACACTGTGCTATGTTATCAAGCATGGTGGGCAGATCTTCGCTTCACACACCAGTAGGGTGAGAACATCTATCAAACCACTCAAAGAGAAGAAGCAATTGTTTTAAAAATCTTATATTTGATAAAGACTTTCTTGAACATAATTTTATTCTTAAATATTGTGTTTTTTTGTAATTGAAAGAAGGGCACCATGATCTTTTTAGTGTTTAAGGCATCTCATAGTCTGGTGCTGTCATGTGGGTGGTGAGGACAAACGACAAGCGCACACAAGGAAGGCCGTGGGCAAGCACTGTGAGCACAGTCTTGTTTTCTAAGCGCACAGACTTCTCCCAGGCACGGTCTAACCACCCCACAGATGACTGTTTCAAGAATACCACCCCAACCAGCCCTTCATCCATGCTGGCCCCTCCACCCTAGTTCACACACAACCACAGCAGGCTCGTGGCTCCAAATGGAAGGGCTCAGTCTACAGGAAAACCTGTCAGCTTGTGCTGTATCATGGTGAAACCAACAAAAAATCACAAAGCCAGTAATGATGTCATCATGATGTAAGGTCTTAGTTAAGGACTGAACCGTGTCCCCTGAGAATTCACACACTGAAGCCCTAACAACCAATGTGACTATCTGGAGATAGGGCTTTTAGGAAGCAATTAAGCTTAAATTAGGTCATAAGGGTCCTAATCTGATAGGATTGGTGGCCTTATAAAAAGAGAAGAGACAGGTCCCTCTCTCCCCACACCCATGCACTGAGAAAGACCATGTGAGGACACAGCAAGATGGCGGCCGTTGGCCATCTGCCAGCCTGGGAGAGCTTCCTTACCAGACCTGACAGTGCCTTGATTTTTCACTTGCAGTCTCCAGAACTGTGAGAAATAAATTTCTATTACTTAAGCCGCCCAGTCTATGGCATTTTGTTACAGCAGCCCAAGTTGATTAATACAGTCATTTTACAAATTCCATGTGTTCCCTCGCTTAACTTCCATTTTTACATGCTGTGATTCTACTGCCGCTTTATCGATGGTTATTGTGGCTAGACTCTTATCTACCAAAACCAGACAATGCCCACATGCAATTCACCCCACTGGGGAACATCTGTGTGTCTGTCCTGTGCCCATGCTAGGCACTGGGAGTTTACCAGGTCAAGAGGGTTGAGTTCCAGCCACTGAGCCCAGAGCCTGGGACACAGAGAAAACCCAGACAAGGGGGCATGTGCAGGGAAAGCCTTGGGCATGGCCCCATGCTCCAAAGCTTCACTTCAGGACATTTTACCCACACAGTGACAGCAAAAGCAGTGATTGACCACAACACCTATTAGTCTTCTTTGTTGTTGTTGTTGGTGTTGTTTTTTGCTGAAAAATAACTACGATAATAATACAATTTTTTTTTTTTTTTGCGATGGAGTCTTGCTCTGTCATCCAGGCTGGAGTGCAATGGCACGATCCCGGCTCACTGCAACCTCTGCCTCCCAGGTTCTAGCAATTCTCTGCCTCAGACTCCCGAGTAGCTGGGATTACAGGCACCGACCACCATGCCCGGCTAATTTTTTGTATTTTTAGTAGAGACAGGGTTTCACCATGTTGGCCAGGCTGGTCTTGAACTCCTGAACTCAGGTGATCCACATGCCTCGGCCTCCCAAAGTGCTGGGATTATAGGTGTGAGCCACCACACCTGGCCAATAGCACAATTTTAAACAGCATCTCATCAAAATTTCTGTTTCTACGGCAAATTCTTTGTTTTGGCCACCATACACTTAATATTCATTTAATGAATGAAAGAATGAATTTATTTTGCAAATGAGGAAATGCAAATGAAGCACAGCAGAATGGCCACTGGAGAGCTCAGGGAAGGTATCTGGATGCCAGATCTGACCCCGACCTGTTGTGTCTCAGTTTCGCAATGGAGGCACACCTTGTAGTAGTGCCATTTCCTCTTGAACCCTCACAGTTCAAATGGGGTGATGGGTGAAGAACAGAAACCAATGAGTTTCTTCACAGAATTGGAAAAAACTGCTTTAAAGTTCATATGGAACCAAAAAAGAGCCCGCATTGCCAAGACAATCCTAAGTCAAAAGAACAAAGCTGGAGGCATCACGCTACCTGACTTCAAACTATAAGGCTACAGTAACCAAAACAGCATGGTACTGGTACCAAAACAGAGATATAGACCAATGGAACAGAACAGAGTCCTCAGAAATAATACCACACATCTACAGCCATCTGATCTTTGACAAACCTGAGAGAAACAAGAAACGGGGAAAGGATTCCCTATTTAATAAATGGTGCTGGGAAAATTGGCTAGCCATAAGTAGAAAGCTGAAACTGGATCCCTTCCTTACTCCTTATACAAAAATTAATTCAAGATGGATTAGAGACTTAAATGTTAGACCTAATACCATAAAAACCCTAGAAGAAAACCTAGGTAGTACCATTCAGGACATAGGCATGGGCAAGGACTTCATGTCTAAAACACCAAAAGCAACAGCAGCAAAAGCCAAAATTGACAAATGGGATCTCATTAAACTAAAGAGCTTCTGCACAGCAAAAGAAACTACCATCAGAGTGAACAGGCAACCTACAGAACAGGAGAAAATTTTTGCAATCTACTCATCTGACAAAGGGCTAATATCCAGAACCTACAAAGAACTCAAACAAATTTACAAGAAAAAAACAAAGAACCCCATCAAAAAGTGGGCAAAGGATATGAACAGACATTTCTCAAAAGAAGACATTCATACAGCCAACAGACACATGAAAAAATGCTCATCATCACTGGCCATCAGAGAAATGCAAATCAAAACCACAATGAGATACCATCTCACACCAGTTAGAATGGCAATCATTAAAAAGTCAGGAAACAACAGGTGCTGGAGAGGATGTGGAGAAATAGGAACACTTTTACACTGTTGGTGGGATTGTAAACTAGTTCAACCATTATGGAAAACAGTATGGCGATTCCTCAAGGATCTAGAACTAGATGTACCATATGACCCAGCCATCCCATTACTGGATATATACCCAAAGGATTATAAATCATGCTGCTATAAAGACACATGCACACACATGTTTATTGCGGCACTATTCACAATAGCAAAGACTTGGAATCAACCCAAATGTCCATCAGTGACAGACTGGATTAAGAAAATGTGGCACATATACACCATGGAATACTATGCAGCCATAAAAAAGGATGAGTTTGTGTCCTTTGTAGGGACATGGATGCAGCTGGAAATCATCATTCTTAGCAAACTATCACAAGAACAGAAAACCAAACACCGCATTTTCTCAGTCATAGGTGGGAACTGAACAAAGAGATCACTTGGACTCGGGAAGGGGAACATCACACACCGGGGCCTATCATGGGGAGGGGGAAGGGGGGAGGGATTGCACTGGGAGTTATACCTGATGTAAATGACGAGTTGATGGGTGCTGACGAGTTGATGGGTGCAGCACACCAACATGGCACAAGTATACATATGTAACAAACCTGCACGTTATGCACATGTACCCTAGAACTTAAAGTATAATAATAAGAAGAAGAAGAAGTACTAGTACAAGACATATACAATACTAATATAAGACATTTAGAATAATAAAAACTGTGGTTAGTATAAAAAAAAAAAAAAAAAAGAACAGAAAGAGGCCACCAAGGCTCCATGTGGCAGGCCTTGCAGTGCCTTTCCCTGTGCTGATAGAGAGGAGTTACGTTCTCCTAATCCACTGCTGAGTTCCCAGGTAATTTCACAAAAATCAGGAGTGTTCACAAGAATCTAAATGTCCAGACTTTCTTTAAAACTAGGAAGCTCTGGCACCTCTGGACCCTATTCCCATAATGCAATCTGCTGGAACTCAGAAGCCCGACCCTCCGGGCGGGAAACAGCTATCCCCTGAGGACCCCAGAGCCCTTTCCACTCCCTGACATTAACTGCTGGCCCAGGGGGCAATGAGTTTTTAGCCACATTGCATTTTTTATTCTATCCAGAATAAATTGACATCAGCATCCTAACTTGTTAATTATGTTCTGCAACTGTGATATACAGCCAAGCATAGACATTCTATGTGAGTCTACGAATTTACTGGAAGAACTTCTAGGGAGCAAAATGGCTCTGGCCAGCTTGTAGGGAATAAAATCCAAATGCCTCAGCTTGG